GATACCGTTAAAAGAAGGGAGCTAGCATGGGAGAATGTTAATAGCTATATTCAAGATGTTTTGTTACCACTATTACAGGCTGTAAATACTGAGCAGAAGCCTCTTTTACAAGTCTCAGATGATAAAGAATTGATCTACAACCCAAATGAAGGAGACCTGGCAGATTCTACTAAAATTGTCGTTAGCAAGGAAATTAATACTACATCCTATAGCCAGTCAGAAAACCCCTCTGACTCAGCCCGATTAGATTATGCTATCAAGGCGTGTTCAGCAGAAAAAAAAAAGTGACATGCAAAGCGCCTCACAACTGATTCCTATATATTGGCCTAAGCCATTAGAGATAAATTTTCTCCAAATAAAGGATGCTGATGATGTTGCAACTATTTATTGTAAGATAGGAGGTTTAGAAATACCTTGTGCAATGATTGATACTGGTTCTGATTCTTTCATATTTTCGGATAACATTGCTGAACTTGTTGAAGAGCTTTTAGGAATTAAAATTAATAGGAAAAAAATTCATAGGCTTAATGGGTCGCAAGTCAATCCATATCCATTGGCACTATAAATAATGTTCCCATAACAATTGGTTCTGGAGAAAATACAGCCTCTATAACAGATGAATTTTCTGTTGTGCCTGTGGAAAAAGATGAGGATGGAAATGATAAATCTTTAGTAATTCTTGGAACGCAATGGCAATATCAGGCTGGATGAGAGCCTTTAATAAAAGGAGAATTTAAGGCTACATATAACGGAAAGACTATTACCATCCCCCTATCAGTTCACAAATCCCAGCGTAATGTCTTTACTGTAGAGAAAGAGGCAGAACCTATAAAAAAAACTAGCTGATCGAACATGTCAATACTATAAAAAGGAGTTTACATATTCCTATTTATTTTTACGCTATAAAAAAACTAAATGTTGGATTAATGGTAAGTCTATATCAAGCAAAGTCAACCAAAGTAGAGTTGAGTCTACATCAAACAAAGTCAACCAAAGTAGAGTTGAGTCTACATCAAACAAAGTCAACCAAAGTAGAGTTGAGTCTACATTTAAAAAAAATACTGTACCTATTCGACTAAGCATTACCTAGACACGTATCTGGAAAGTATATTTTTTTCGAATATTTAGGTCATTCTTTACATCTTCCCGCTTTCCAGTCCATAATTTAGTATTATGGTGGAAAAATTATAAACTTGGTTCTATTGTCGCATCTTTTCTAACATGAGGGTTATAAGAAATAATCTTATCATTGAGAGAAATAATCTTTAGGTCTTTGGCAAAGATAACATCTTCCAATTCCTTACACTTTTGCTCAGCCGATTTTTTTATATCCTTCTTATCATTTTTAAGTTAGGAGATAGTAGAGAACAACTTACCATTCTCCTTATCTTTTATGACTATAGATTTTTCTAAAGTAGTAATCTGAGATT